GCATTTTAACAAGACCCCCGGTGATAGGTCTGCACATTGCAGTCTGAGAAGCACTGCCCTGAACAACTATTCCAAAGAGTAGTAACAGCCCTGAGCATTTAGCGGGGGACATGCCTTAAACCTGGGGGCAGCTGCCTGCAGCCTAGACCCCTGTGTCTGCTGACAAGGTGTTCTGCCAGCACCCACACAGCTCAGAGCTGAGCATCCCTGCCAGGCAAGACCAGGCCCAGGATGGCCACCTGCGTGCTGGGCTACAGCCCCCACTAACACCAGCATCCAGCTACCAGTCACCAGGCCTTTCACCAGTCACCAGTCACCAGTCACCAGGCAAACACATTTCTATTACAGCGTCTAATACAGTCACCAGTCACGGGCCTGTGATCACCCAGTCACAGGCCTTTCAACCCAGTCACCAGGCCTTTCACCAGTCACCCAGTCACCAGGCCTTTCACCAGTCACCAGGCCTTTCATTCAGCCACCAGTCACCAGGCCTTTCACCAGTCACCAGTCACAGGCCTTTCACCGTCACCCGGGCCTTTCATTCCAGCCTCTGATGCGAGCCTTTCACCAGTCACCAGGCCTTTCACCAGTCACCAGTCACCAGGCCTTTCACCAGTCACCGGGCCTTTCATTCAGTTACCAGCTACCAGGCCTTTATTGCTGATATTTTCTCTTCTTCATTTAATGAGAAGAGTGATATATGTCTATTGTGGGAAATTAAAGTGTAAAGAAGAACAGTTCCCCATAATCCCTGATCCAGAAAGATCCATCATTGACACTTTGCTATCTTTTCTTCTAGTCTTTTTTCTACATGCTGTTAGAATTCCACTTTTTTTCATTTGATACTTTTTAGGCTTTAAAAGAGCTTCATAACATATTTTTAATTCCTATAAATGCTCAATAGAAATAGCAGAAATTAATAAACTTTCACATACTAATGTTAGACATTTGGGATGTTAAAAATTTCCTTTCTATACATGCAAGGATGATCTTTATATTCATTTCTTATTTCCTTTGGATAGAGTCCTACAACTGTAATTACAGTAATTACTGTGCAAAATGGTTTTATTATTTGTAAGACTTGCGTTATCTATTGCCAAGCTGCTTTTCAGAAAGTTTCAAGTAATTGAAACCCTCACTTGTACATCAGGGTGCCCATCTCTCCTTGCACCCACCAGCTTTGAATACTACTGGTTTTGGAATATTTGCTAATGTGATGAAAAATAATATGTTGGTGTTGCTTTCATGTTTCTTTATGTAGTGATGGGCATTTGTTCACGTCTATAGCCAATTATGGTAGGAACAGAACTTGTAAGAGCCATATATTCTAAGAAACTTGACTGTTTTCCATGTCTCCTCTTGAAAAACTCCCTCTGCCGAATGTGGAGAAATAGGAATGCTTTTACACTGTGGGTGGGAGTGTGAATTAGTTCAATCATTGTGGAAGACAGTGTGGCAATTCCTCAAGGATCTAGAACTGGAAGTACCATTTGACTCAGCCATCCCATTACTGGGCATATACCCAAAGGATTATAAATCATTCTACTACGATAAAGACACATGCACACATATGTTTATTGTGGCACTATTCACATAGCAAAGACTTGGAACCAACCCAAATGTCCATCAATGATAGACTGGATCAAGAAAATGTGGCACATATACACCATGGAATACTATGCAGCCATAAAAAAGGATGAGTTCATGTCCTTTGCGGGGACATGGATAAAGCTGAAAACCATCATTCTCAGCAAACTATAGCAAGAACAGAAAACCAAACACCACATGTTCTCACTCATAAGTGGGAGTTGAATAATAAGAACACATGGGCACTGTGAAACCTCTCATTAGGTCTGAGTGAGGAAAGCACCTCCCTTCTCCCCCAGCACCAGCAATGCCACTCTACAGGAATCCCTTTCTCCAACTTTTGCATTTCAACAACTTTTACCTTAAAGTGGGCGCTGAGCTAAGCACCTTCTTTTACAATGAGGAAGTTACTGAACCAGACACCCAGTGAAACCTCCTGCGGCACGTGTTTGCTCTCTGGTCAGGTCACTTGCTCCATTCTAAAGCCAGGTTTTCTGTCATTGTCTCTGTTTGTTCCCATCCCCTACCTCCTCTCAGCTGTTGCCTGTGGCCTCAGAGCTGGCACCAGCCCACGTCTTGCTCAGGGAGGAAGCAGCTGTCATATTGTGAGTGTGCAGGTGTCTGCTTTGAGCCTGAGAAGAAGGACAAAGAGAAGAGGGCAGGAGTGCTGGCGTAGGGAGAAGAACAACTAGTGAAGAGAATCTACTTGTCTTGGAGTAATGACTGGAAAAATGGAGACGTCAAGGGCCATCAGGTCTAAATGACAGTCTCATCAGAGAGAAACTCAATAGCAGAGCTTCTTGCTGTTAAAGATCATTAACAATAATCAGAAACAACAGCCAGTGTTCCCAACTCTGCCACCAAGACACCTCCATCCGAGAGGCATGCATCTGAGACCACAGGATCTAATAGTGGTGGAGTCCATCCTGCTGCTGCTGGTAGGTAAAAAATATTTGTAGACAAGAGTTAGGATGATGCTTTGTTCCATAAATTTGCTTCTAAATGAATTGCCATGCTGTTTATAATCACCACCAAAAGTAACATCCTCTTAAGTAGCAACCTCATCAGTCTTTTGTATACATGTCCCAAGGTAGGCGGTGGATCTGCTGGACTCCGGTGTGAGAGAAGTGGGAGAAGCTTCCTGCGGGAGACAGAGCACTCACCTTCCCGAAACCACTGTGAGTGTTTACTTTACTCCAACTTTCTCCTAAAAATGGCATTGGGTTTCTGTGTCGATGATTGTATCAGAAGGTTATGGGGAAAAAACAGCTCTTCACAAACTTCCTTAACACTGAACATTAACAGCTCACTCAAGCAGCCATGCGCCTGAAATATAAGCCCAAATCCAGAGAGGATGCCCAGAACCATTGCCACTAATGGATGGAGTCTAACAACACAACCTAAAACAAGGAAACTCTTAATGGGAAGGATCAGGTAACTGGGTTGATCCTTTTGGTCACTGCATGCAAATTTCTTTCTTTATGGGAAGCAACTTGCAATCAAATAAAAAAGATATAAACTAAGTAATCAAAGGGAACTGTGAGCCCTCTTAGTGACTGAATCACACCTGGGCATGAGTTCTGTAGGTGTGGATTTCCTGCATAAACCAGAATTTCAAGGAAATAAAACAATATTGTAAGTGATAACTATTTTTACCAAAAAGAGCTTTCCTTGTAGCAAAGTTGTTGTTGTTGGTTTTCAAAATTTTCAACACAGTCCGGAGACAGGTGTCTTATTTGTGTTTCCGATATTGTCAGTTTTATGCTTGACAATTATAATGATTTCAATTCATCATATAATTCTCCCTCACAAAACAGTAGCATTAAATATAACACAGAATTATAGGGGCACATAGTAACACAAGGAAAGGTGAAAGATTTGTCAATCACAAAGTCATTGGAACCACCATCTTTGAAGAGTGTTTAAGTTCTGTGTAGAGGTGGGGTCTTTTATGAAAAGCAGAGGCCTGACCAGGAAGTCAGGATGACCACCAGCCATGTCCTCAGAAGGTGACCCAAATTCACTCACATGAGGGTATGTCCAGAGAGACGTGATCTGCAGAAACCCATGGTGTATGAAAAAAGCAAAGTGTGGTCAAACTCTAAGAGTGCGACTCTGTATGGTGGTGTCAACTGCATGCTGGCCTACGACAAGCGGTGAGAGGGATTCTGCAAGGTGCTCCCATGAGTGAAAGGCCCTAACTTTTCATTTGACATTTGGTTAATTTCACCTGTGTGATATAGAAGTCTCAACTGCAGAAAGACCAAAGGAACTGGGTGACAAGACACCCCAGAAGCAAATGACCACATCAGAGGTAAGATGTGTTTCCACCTTGGCCAAATTTAATTCCAAGTCCCACAGATTTTGTGCAAATATGACTTTGGACTGTCCAGAGACCTGAAGAGGGTCTGAGGAAGTCAGTCAGTCCCACAGTCTCTCTGGACCCTGGAGCAGGGAAGGGAACCTTTTTGGTCCCTAGGCTAATGTCATCCACACAGAAGGAATCACTGCTCTTTTATTCTGGACATTAGTGTATTATTCTTACAGAAAGTGTGGTTACCAAACACCACAGCCATTGCTGCTCCTATTCACTGTGGGAGGCCACTTTGCTCACTGAAGGCAGCCAATGTGAATTCCTGGCTTTTCAGGTACTCTTGCAGTGCGAAAGGGCCATGTGACCCAGCTCTGGCCAATGGGATGAAAGGAAAGTCTGTGATGCGAATGTTTGGTTTCCTCCTAAGAGACAGCTTCCTCCTCTCATGCTCCAACCTTGCGTGTGTCTGGGGCAGCCACCTTGTGAACACGAGGCAACAAACATGAAAATGAAAAGAGCCCAAGGACAGCAGAGCCCAGAGATGCAGCCAGCTGAAGGCCTTGGTGACACCCCTGAGCAGCTGAACCCACACCCAAGCTTCCTGTTTCCAATCTTCTTGTTGATGATAAAAATAAATTCCTCTTTAACCAGCAGTTCATTAGGCTTTCTGTTGTTTTTGGCTAAACACACCTGTCTAATTCAATTACTAACTTTCTTGAAATGCAGACTTTACTTCTTACATGTATATGTGTTTCTCTACACATAGAGAAGTATGTGGAAAGAGAGAAATCAAGCCAATGACTTTGGTTATATTGAAAGTCTAGGGGGAGATCAAAAATGGAGGAAGGAGATAAAACAGAAACAAAAAAATTTCCAAGAAAAATTTTTTTAAATTTTAAAAATTTTTAAAGAAAATTCTTTTAAATTTAAAAAATTTCAAAGGAAATTCTTTTTAATTTAAAAAAAATTTAGAGAAAAAATTCAAGTGAATTAAAAGTAAAATTTAATTTAAAAATTTAAAAGAAAATAACTTTAGAAGATAATAAATTATATACATATTTCATTGGTAACACCATTGATATTGGTAAATACTTGGAAATAATTGTTTAGCTAAAGAGGTTTGGTGTTTGCAAAAAACAAAACTCTCTGAAGCCATTAACAGATGTTGATGTGTATATGTTGTTAAAGGGGTGTGCGTGTGTGATATATATGTTTAAGTACATGTATTTTATATTTATGTTTTATATAAACAAATATAGTAGAATCCTATTTTTATGTCTGCGTGCAGGGAAGCAGCTTGGTTAGATGGACGTGTGCCAAAATGATAATAGTGGTCTCTTGATTGTAGTGTTTTGGGTCATTTCCCCCAACAGCTTGTTTGCCTGAATATTCTAGTTTTTCAGCATTAGCTTGTATTTCTTTTATAATATGGGAAAATTGGGAAAAAGTCAAACATGACCTGTAGACCTCTAGAAGAGAGCTTGTTCCTCCAGCAGAATCAGAGCAGCTCTGTAGGGACGAGGAAGGAACCTGAGGGAAGCTGTGGGTGCTGGAGATGTGGTCTCTGGAACTCGGTGTCACACTGCTGAGCAGAGAGGGCCCATGCCAAGACCCTATCTAGGCACCGACCTGTCAGAGATGATGACAGGATTAATCAGATTTTAAAATTGCCTGATAAAACTCTATTAGCTCCTTAGACATATTCAGGATGTAAATTTAAGGTGTTATTATAATATTATGGCTTTCCCATCCTGACGGGCGCTGCAAAATCAAGACTATTAAATATTATAGGCCTTACGTTCTATTTTTACTATCGAAGTACCAGATAATAAATTTAAATAGGAGAGACTGAAAAGTAAGATGACCTCTTTCCTACCAATTGTAACAGTTAAGAATTCAGCTCTAAATTTGGAAAACTGTGCATTATTTTTCCAGGGGAGAAAAACGACTTAGAAATTGAGATCCATGTAGAAGAGTTTCTGCAAAGGTGGTAAAAATAGCCTGTCTAGGAGCTGATCCTCCTTGGGAAATTTCACCGAATGGAACTTGATGGTGGCTAGTCTTAGCTGAACTAGATTTTTTTTCCCTGTCTCCTTCCATCAGGTCTAAGTACATATCTGTCTTTTTCTTATCTATTTCAAAACATGATTTTTAAATATTGCAGAAATATTTCTTTCCCTTTAAAGATGCTTGTTTCAAGTTTTTTCCCCAGCATTGAATCCGTAATTTTGTAGGTTAGTCTCATTTGCAGATTTTAGAAAGTGCCTTTTATTCTTCTCTAAGTGTTAAAGCAATTTAGATTAATGGGCCTCGGACTCTTTGATACTCATTTTTAAGGCATTTTAAAATCCATAGAAGATGCTACCCTTTCATATGCAGTAAGTAAAAATCTTGGCAGATGAAAGACTTTTTTATTCCTTTTTGTTTTTGCACAAAAGAAAATCCTTGGAGCCACAGAAAAACCGCAGAGGTGATAGAAAAAATCTTCATATTGCAGTTTTATTCCTCCCTGCTTCAGCACCCTGCCCCTGGCGGCTACTCGAAGGAAGCGGAAAAGACCTTGGTGACATCACTGGGCAGTTGAACCCACGCCCAAGCCAGGATGGGGCCAGCTCTGTGGGTAGGGAACAAAGGAAGACAGGCTGGCCTCATGGTGACCCACACCCAACCTCTGCACCTCACGATCACCACCGTTGCTCCCAAAACCAAACATTTATTGAGCATAATATTCCATGTTACAGTCCATCCATCAGCTCATGGGGACTCTATGAGCACGAGTGTTAGGGATGGCTACTAATGAGCCGTGCAGGCCCCTGGAGGGTAAGCGGATTCTCAGAACCCTGAGTGGTGCTGACCACATGTGGGGCAGGGCCTCTGTGGCTCCCACTCCTGGGCAGGAGCCTCAAGCTGGGAGCAGAGCATGTGGGGTGGAGGTGGGGCTGTCTGTTCCTGTCACTCCTTTTTGACCAAGGCCTGTCAGATACCCCTGATAGCCCGTGTGCTTGGAGGGAAGGAAAGGGAGGCCTCGTTAGGCTGTGGGCATGGCTCCAGCTCGGTGTGCATGTGTGTGTGAGTGTGTCTCTGTGTATGCACGTGGGTCCATTTGTCTGATTTACCAGTTATTGAGGATGGTTATTGAAGGCAAGGAAGAAAAGAGGCAAAGAAGTCACATAGTGTTTTCCTGCACTTGGCCATAGACTCAATCTTTTTCTTTTCTTTGATGGAGACAAATGCCAGGATGTGGGTAAATTTCGTGCCCATATGTGGGAACATCCCTCAGCCAAACACCCAAGGAGGGCTGTAATGAGCTGTGAGTGGGGGGCTGCTTGCTGGAGAGGGAGGGCTTCTGAAAGGGCCATGTTTACTCCTCCTAGCTTAGGGCCTAAGACGTCCCCCATTAGTGTCACGGTGGCTGTGATCACAGTGATGAGAATTCAGAGTCAGAAAAGTTCACTCTGGAGGTTCCTCATATTACCAACACCAAGGACACATTTTATTGTTTTTCTCTCCAAGGACATCAGATGTTGAAATATTTTGTTCATCCAATTGCACGTTAGAACTAAAGTCACCTTCTGGGACCTCCAAAAAGTGGAAATTCATTATAATCCATTTAATTTTGCTGGTACGTTTTTGAATTTCAAAACACCAAGTAAATTTTTTCTTTTTGTGTTCATCAAAAACATATAAAGAATTCTAGGGAGTTGAAGTCATCTGCATTCATCTGAATCTCCCAACAAATCCTACAAAAATCAGTAGACAACAACAGGAAGGGCAGACGAGGTGATGTGAGGCCCAACTCTCAGCACACGTAGGAGATGGAGAATTCACAAACTGTAAGCTGCTGGCGAGTGGGGCAGCGAACACCAAATCTCAGCAAGCCATTTCCCATGTCCCGGTCTCAAGATGGTGGAAAGCAAGGGCGGTATGGGAAAAAGGGAATGGAGGAGACGAGAGGCCGCCTAGCGGTGGGTCTGAGACTGCCCCAAGATGACTGCCCACAGGAGAGGCTCCTACTACAAAGATACAAAGTGAGCAGTCTCCAAAGGGCATCACTTCTAGGGCAGAAGCTAAAAGGAAGGAAGATTCTTTAGAAGATAGGGCATAAGTAGGAAGTTTTAGTGCTCTGAAGGGCAAGAGAGAAGCAAAAAACGTTCACGTAACCCTTCGCCCGTGCCCCTCTGAAACAAGCCACCCTTCAAAGAAACCACACTTTCCTATGCTGACAGAGAGGTGCCCTTAACTAGTAGCCTTGTAGTCTTGTAAGCCATCCCATAAAATGAATAGGCAGAGCAAACGAAATCCATATAAACCTACTTTAACAAGGAGAACCCTCAGCGCACCAAACTCTTCCTCCCCCAAATGATCACAAAGTGGAAGACAACGGTCACATTACACTCACAGTTCAGTGAGATCTCATCAAACAAATATTTCAGGATAGAAAACATCATCTTCAAACAGAAATTAAAGAGCTTAAACCAGAAAGACAAAAATAGAAAAAAATAAAGAGAGTTGATTGATCTCAGAAAAGAAAATGAAAAACACAAAATGATCTCAGGAATAAAAAATACGTTCCCAGGTGCACAAGGGATAATAGACAGAAACGAAAATTTAAGAAGAAGCATTGAAGAAAGGCAGGAGAGTAGCTAAAAAATAAAAATAAGCTAAAGAAAGAAGAAAAAAAGTTCAGAGAGAAAGCAATTGAAATGGAAGAAGCAGACAATACATGTAATTGAAGACCATGAAGAAGAAAAACAAAATGCTGGAACAAAGTTTATACCTCAAACTACTACATTGCAAGAAAGCCTTCTGGAAATATGAGGAAACTGAAATTTCGATACTGAAGGGGGTCACTGAGTAACTGGATAAACCAAAAACCATCAACTCTGAGACATATCCCAGTGAAACGATTAGAATACAACATTGCCAGCATCTGTTATTTTTTGACTTTTTAATAATAGCCATTTTTGACTGGCCTTAAATGGTTTATCATTGTAGTTTTGACTTGCATTTCATGTTGAGATTTTTTTCACATGATTGGGTTGGCTGCATGTATATCTTCTTTTGAAAAGTGTCTGTAGAACAGAACTTTAAACCTTCTAAATCCCAAAAGAAATTGTTTTAAAAACTAAAAGAGCCAAATAAACTCATCACACAGAAGAAGAAACATAGCACTTTCAACACAATGTGGTAATTTTAGCATAAAGTAGTACGATGGAGCTGAGACCAAACACTGACTTCTGGCCTCCAGAACTGTGAGAGCACAAACGTCTGCTGCTTGAACCATCCATTTTGGCGTACTTTGCTACAGGCGCCCTAGAAAACTAATACAATAACTCACAATCAATAAATCAATACCTCCATTCAAAAAGTAACAAAATAGATAAACTACTAGCTAACTTAGAAAAAAAAAGGGGGTAGAAAGCATAAATAAATAAACTAAGAAATGGCGACAAGGAAATAACTTGACACAAAAGAAGTTTAATAAGCATGAGATCACCTACAGGCTGAGTTGAAAGGGACAATTTCCTTAAAAAATACAGTTTACCAAAATTGATCCTATTAGAGACAGAAAGTTATCAAGGACCTCTTACACAAAAATAGCATCAGACTCATATGGTCTTATAGGATAATTCTACCAAAGTTTCAAAGACCAGGTATTCTCAATGCTCTTTTTTTCATTTCTGCCCATTTTAGAGATGGAATTTTTAGTAAATAATACCGAGACAACTGGTTAACCACTTGAAAAAACATAAAAATCAGATCCACACCTCATACCACACACAAAGATAAACAAGGTCTTGAAGGTACAAACTTAGGTTTGAGCAAATATTAAGTTTGTTCTTGGACAGCGCAACTCAGCAATATGAAGATGTTAATTCTATTTTAATTTATATATTTAACACAATCCCAAGAAACTTTTAAAACCCTGACAAGTTGATATTAAAGCTCATATGCATAAATAAACATGACTGGATGTGGTGGCTCACGCCTTTAATCCTAGACCTTGGAGAAGCCAAGGTAGGAGGATTACTTGAGGCCAAGAGTTCTAGTCTAGCCTGGGAAACACAGCAAGATTCTATCTGATATGGTTAGCTCTGTGTCCCCACTCAAATCTCATCTTGAATTGTACTCCCATAATTCCCATGTGTTGTGGGAGGGACCCGGTGGGAGATGATTTGAATCATGGGGGCGGTTTCCCCCATACTGTTTTCATGGTAGTGACTAAGTCTCACAAGATCTGATGGGTTTATCAGGGTTTTTTTTTTTTTTTTTTTTTTTTTTTTCCCGGCATCTTCATTTTCTCTTGCTGCTGCCGCCACGTAAGAAGTGCCTTTCACCTCCCACCATGATTCTGAGGCCTCCCCAGCCATGTAGAAACCTAAGTCCAATTAAACCTCTTTTTCTTCCCAGTCTCTGGTATGTCTTTATCAACAGCATGAAAATGGACTAATATACCATCTCTGTAAAAAATAAAAAATAAAAATAAAAATTAGCCAGGTGTGGTGCTGCACACCTGTAGTCACTGCTACTCGGGAGGCTGAGGTTGGAGGATCACTTCAGCCCAGGAGTTCATGGCTGCAGTGAACTATGATTGCGCCACTGCACTCCACCCTGGGCAACATAGCAAA